AGCGATCTCTGTGAGGATCAACGACAGCCCTGTCAAACAAAAACGGTCAATGCTGACATATGCAACCACGCAACGGTCGCTGTCGGTAGCTGCGACCACACAGCGGTCGCTTTTGGCATGTGCGACCACGCAACGGTCGCTGTTGGCACGTGCGACCACCCAGCGGTTGCTGTTGGCATGTGCGACCACACAGCGGTCACTGCTGGCATGAGCGACTACGGAGCTGTCGCTGTTGGCATGTGCGGCCACACAACGGTCTCTGTTGGCATCTGCGACCACTTAAACTACTTTGAGTACCTCTCTCGACCGAACAAAATGAATATGGAAAGATTTTGATTTTTTCTACTAACTTGTAGCTCGGACTTAAGCAAAACGAAGAAACTAGTTGTATCGATGTGAAGAGGTGGAGCACAGCGATAAAAAGAGCACCGAAAAAATTACCGCAAAAAAAGTGATAAATGTGCAAAGTACTAAAAAAAACCTTAGTAATGGCAATGAGGAAGCGTTTATGTGATGGTTGGCATAGGTCAACTAGACGACCGTAGACGCGGCCCGGAAAAATACGCTTCAAATTATCGATAGTTTCATTTTGTTTTCGTGTTCGCTCCGACTCCGCAGTATCACCATGTGCATCTGATAGCTCCTTCGAAACATTCAGTACTTCGGCTGACACTTTTTCCAGGCGTTCTTTTGATTCGCGCACCTGAATTGATCGCCTGTATATTGAGAAATACATCAATTGAACATTACGGATTACGGATTCGGATAAGCAGCCTCAGGGATGTATGAGAAACTGATAGAAACGATAAAATCACAAAGAAACAGAATTTAAAAAATCGTGATTTTTTCTGATTTTGTGATTTTTTATGTCGGATTTTCATGCGTAGAAAATTTGTAATTTTTTATGCTTAGAAAAATATAGTTCACTGAAAATGCAAAAAAAAATGTGCTAAAAATTCAAATACACGTGAAAACTGAAAGATTCTCAACTGTGTGCCAAAAAAATGCAATAACACGTCGGGAAAAACCAGAAGAACTCAGCAAATTCAGAAAACCACAAAAAAATTGAAAAAAAAGAACATTAAAAAATACCCTAATAAAAAATTGAAATAAACACGGAAGCTTCATAAAACTGTGAAAAAAATGCAGAAAATATTAACAACAAAAAAACCAGAGCAGTTAAATTTTCCAAACATAAAAAGCGCCGCAAATTCATCCAGGAAACTCACCAAATTTTTACAATTTTAATTTAAAATCGTGATAAAACAGTCGAATATCACTGGCCCCATATTCATTAACAATGGAACCCGTGAAAAAATAAAACGACCACTCACAAAAACGCACAAAAAACGAAGCTCACGCACATAAAATAAGAGATGGGTACTAACTGGAGGTATGCAGTCCAAGATGGAAGCAGCTGGCACAACTGCTGCATCCAATAATCATAATTAACAGAGGAGTCTTTTGGGCAGTTTTTAGACAAAAAAAAAAACCAACCTGCACTTCTAGCATTTGTAATTTTTCCTTATCTTGTTCAATCAGACTTGTTTGCTCGACGATAATTTTACCAAGTTTTTCGGCTTG